AAAAAATAAAAAAAATAAAAAAAATCTTAACAGAAATAAAAAAAAAAAGCAAACTTTCCCAACAATAATATTCAAAAGCAATTCACTGTCTTCCACAGAAGAGGGTGAGAAGAACAGTCTCTTCAACTTGCAGCAGTGCGGGCTGCTGGGGGCTGACCTGGCTTTGAGGTGAGCCAGGTGTATAGTACCTCCCCTTGGCAGCCAGAGCACATGCACTTCAGACGTCCAGGGAGCACCAGAGGCCTGTCTGCAGCCACAGTCCCAGGGCTGGCAATGACCTAAAGGTCCTACCCTGAGCAGCGGCCCTTCCTGAAGCTAACAGAGAGCTGTAGTCACACTGACTCGCGGGAGGGCTGCTTCATCAGCAAGAGGCTGGCCACTGGGGCTGGCCCCACACAGCAGCCGTGGGAATCCGTGAGAGCATTCAGCACAGGACTCTGGGCTCAGCTCCCAGCAAGGACACACTCGTGCAGTCCTGCATTGGTGGGTCTCAACCCGGGGGTCCGCCCTTCTGTGCTCCCAGGTCTGCCAGCCCGAGCCCAGCTCACAAGCTGGTCTCCCCTCCCTCTCCAGCTCTTCCCTCGGGCACTCTTCCTGCTGCTCGCGCACCCCGGCCGTCTGCAGGCACGCTCTAAGCGACTCTCACTGACAGTGTCACGATGCCTTAGGTGACATACCACCTGCTCCTGCCCTGATTCGGGCACAAAGCACTGGCCAGTGCCACACTCCCAGCTCAGCCACTTGGAACGACTCAATGAAGATTTCTGGGTTTCTGGTTTTGTCCACTTAATCACAAGCAAAAACTTCCAGAGGAAACGGAACCTCCCGCCAAACCCCAGGCCTACCAGGCCTATGGAAGCCCGGGAACTCAGAACTGATGAGGATTGAGGCTTGTTACTCTATAGCAACCTCTGTTATCTTGAAGGAAGCTCAGAGTCTGGGGTGTGTGTGTGTGTGTGTGAGAGAGAGAGCGCGAGCGAGCGTGTGTATTCTGCCGGTGCATTGTTTTCCAGACCCACTGACACGGATGCTGCCCTGAGTGGTGGCCAAGGGCCCAGCCCAGCCCAGCAATCTGGCTAGGACGATGTCAGCCCAGGATGTAACTGGCACTTGCCAGCAGAACATGAGCCTGACTGCACACCTGACTGCACACTGTTGCTCATCTCTGGCCACAGCATCTGTCAAGACTGCGTGGCATAGCCCATGGGCTGGGCAAAGCCAGACAGCTAGTCTCAGGAAACTCTATTTCCTTTTGAAAGCAACTCTGGTCTCTGACAACTTTTTATTTCCTTAAAGTTATATAAAGTTTAACTAGAAATGATTTAAAAATAAAATCCTTGGAGATATAATAATGATTCTTCTTTCCTTTAGTTTTTTTTTCTTCTTTCTTAAGGGTCAGGGTCTTGCTATATTGCTCAGGCTCACCTTAAACTCCTGGATTCAAGCAATCTTCCTGCTTCAGCATTCCAAGTAGCTGGGACTATAGGTGCATGACCTCACACCCAGCTAATCTACAGCCATTAAGTGGGCAAATGTAACTGAATATTCACTGACATGGCAAAGTTTGGAAAAAGCTAAATCCAGCGATAAAAAATTCTCATTTATGGAATAGCTTCAAGAAATACAGCTGGACAGGACTTAGCAGCTCAGCCTCTAAAGCCAGCAACTCGGGAGCCTAAGGCAGGGGACTGCAAGTTTGAGCCCAGCCTAGTGGCAAGTGTAATATCCTGAGTTCAATTCCTAGGACCAAATAAAAAGCAGGAGAGGGCCTAGAAATGTAGCTCAGTGAAGACTCTGGGTTCAGTTCCCACTACGGAAAAAGAACTGGTACTTCTTTCAAATTAAAGATAGCATGTACTGAGGACTATTATCCCACAAGACATGATTGGGAGCAACAACTACTCTTCCATGATTTGTAACTGAATACCAAATTTTTTGCTAAGAGGTGGGCACTTTTAAATGGTAAGGATGCTTGAGAGCAGCTTTCTGTGGCAGGGTCAGCTTGGCAGACGACAGCATAAAAGCCTATTTCAGGCTGTGGAGTAGCTCAGCACAAGCACACCTGCCTAGCTAGCTCATGAGAGGCCCCCAGGACCCCAGCCCTAGTCCTGGCCCCTCCCACCTTTACACCTATTCGGGCTGTAGGAAGATGATGGCCACTGAAGAGAGAGGCAGAGAGCAGCAGGCACTGGACTGGGATCCATGTTTCCTGCTCCAAAAGTCACACCCCACACTGCCCCAGAAGCTCCTCCTTGGAGTATGAATTCTTTTATTAAGTCCTCTTTCTTTAATCATGAAAGGAGCAGTTCTCAACATTTCAGAATAAATTCCAAAATGAGAAGAGTTCAAACAGTTGTCTTAAAAAACAAAAAGTGGGCTCCAGGTGTAAAGCTCACTATTAACCCCAGCCACTTAAGGCTTTTACTGACCCTTAACATTGCTATAAATGACAGCATCTTCATTAATGTAAGGGCGCTAAAACTAATAGCGTTTATTTATTAAATGACAAAGAGTTAGGTAATGAGAGATTTGCTTATTCCAACAGATACTCTGAAGAGCTTATGTCTAAGCTGACAAACACCAACTTTTGTTTTACGCTATTCCACCCGTCATGTGCACCATAGTTCCGCTGGCGTATGAGAGACAGTGCAGAGACAGATTTGCTGCCTGAGTGCAGAGACACACTCAGTGTGTAAGGAAACTGGCCTCACGTAGCTTCTTTTGGAAGAAGCTGAGGAAGCAGACCCTTGCCTGCAGTATGTGAGAACAAGCCACCTCATCATCTGCCCTGCCTTAGCTGTTTTGTCTGGCAGCTTTCATGACACGTTTCCCTTTTCCAGAGGGTCCTCAGGGCTGCCATTCCACAGCTGGTGCAGTGCGCATGTGGCCACTGGCTCAGCTGGCTGTGCAGGGCAGGGCAGGGCAGGGCAGGGGTGGCGCTGCCGGGCCTCTCACAGTAGCCCTGTGTGCCCCTGTGGCTCCTCCTCTCTGCATCTGGGCTGAAGCCTGGGTTCACAGGGACGGACAGCCACCAGCTGCTTCTGAGAAGGAAGTTCTCAGAGCTCACTTTGGGATGAAGACACCTGGGAAGCTTTAATTGGATGGGCAAACAGATGAGTATTCTGCCTCTGCGTGACAAAGCTACCGGGCCTAGGAGAATTCTAGATTCTTTCTAACACATGTTCGGAGTCAGAAGTATGTTTGTGGTGATGAAAACTGTAAGGAGACCAGATAAAAATTCTGTGCAACCCCAACGTGCCAGCAACATGCACCGCACAGCTTCCGGGCGCCCGACAGGCCTGAGAATCCGAAACCCGGAATGGAGACAGGAGAGAGCTCAAAGCATTTTAAAGGAAAAGAAAAATGAAAACCAAACCAAAAACCTAAATATGCAGGTGCCCAAGTAGCTCTGGCAATGTGACAGAGCGAAGCTTCATGAGGAGACGGTGAGGACACAGGTCCAGCCTGCCAACGCGACGGCCTGCAGAGTGTATCCCGCCCAGACCTGCCGTGCAGGCGCAGCCGTGTGGGGCGGCCCTGGGTCCTCAGGATCCGAGTTAGCTGAGTGCTGCTAGGATTATTCAAGACAAGACAGTTTCTGCTCTCTTTCCTGGGGCAATTTAAGGGAAGTTCACAGTGACAAACCTAATGTCCCAGAATTTTCATTTTGTAGGCAAAACCCAACCCCCCGCAAGAGAATAGTAAATAGCAAATAGATGACTCAAATCTGCTAAACCTAATTTGTTAAACAAAACTGTCAAGTTTTCTTGTGAAAATAGGATACCTCATTTAAAGACAGACATCTCCCAACTGGACAGTCAGTAACTGCTAAAACATTGTTGCTGGGCTAGAGTTTCACTTTATTTTTTATTTTTTTTGGGGGGGTCTTTGAGAGAGGCTCTTGCTACGCAGCTCAGGTGGCCTCAAACTCAAGGTGACCCTCCTACCGCAGCCTCCTGGATGCTGGGAATAATGGCATGAGCCACCACGCCTGGCTGGTTTCACTAAAGGTTGCTCACTTGTACGCATGTCCTTTACCAGTGATCACGTGCCATCATATGGACAAGCTTTTAAGGTTAAAGAAAAGAGCAAAAACAAGAAAAGCCACAGGGCAGCCATTCTGCACAAGAAGCACAAGCCCAGCTCAGTTGTCTTCTCGGTCAGCAACTGCTGGGCACAGTCTCTCCAGGACCCTTCTCCCCACCTGCGAACAACACTGTTAACCGTGGCCTCCCATTCTTAAAGTGAGTTAATGTAAATGGGAAGTGTTTTGTTCACACGTGAGTGATTGTCACCATCATGGGGTCACTTGGAGGCACTAGCTGGGAATCACATCCGGTCCCTTTACACTGGGTACTGTGCCAGGCCAGGAGGCAGAGAGATTCCAGGCCGAGGATGAGGCGCGGCCTCTGCTGACTGATTTGGGTGGTGATTTGAAGAGGTCAGAGCAGCTGTTCAAGCAGCCACACAACTTCCAAAGGGAAAAGCTATCTTTAGGGTCTCATTCTGCTTGTAGACATAATAAGTATTCTAGCCACAAGTCCTACAACCCAGGAGCATGCTCAGATGTAGCCATGTGGCAGTCAAGAGCCTGAGCCGTGAAAGTGCTACACACAGTGGGTCAACTCCACTGTTTGTAATCTCAAGTTTTCTAAGTTCCTAAATAAGCAATCCTGTTTTTCACAATGCTTGCTACTAAAGTCATATATTCAGGATAGCACTGCAGTCTCTGTAGGCCTCTATCACTCGAAGGACAGGTGAGCAACAAGGTCCAAATACATAAACACAAACAGGCTAGGTGTTTGCCAAGTGTCTGACCGAGTTTAGAACTTTTTGGAACCACAGGGATGCAGCTGCGCAGTCAGTTCAAGAGCAATGGGAACTCTAACCTGACATGGGCTGAGGGAGGGGTACACCTCCCAGCTCCCAGTCCGCTTGCCCAAGCATACCTGCATCCCTGGCCCCATCTGTTCAGGACCCTGGCCACGGGGCTGGCTCACCTCCTTGTGGGAGTCTTTGTGGGCTTCCAGCGTCTTCATGATCGTCAGCTCCGCATAGTTTTTGAATCTTGCTGGCTGGTTTCTCAGAATTTCACGCAGAACTCTCAGTGCCAGGGCTCGAATAGAATGCTGGGTACAAGAGGAAAGGGAGCATCACTGAAGGGAACACAGCACAGGATCATCCATAGGCCAGCACCCAGTCTGGGCTCCAATCACACTGCTTTCCTTGGCATGGGCTCTCTAGACAGTAAGTTCCCAGAGGACAGACACTGTGTTGTACGGTGACACTCCTAAGACCCAGCACCTAGGTGGGGCCAACAGAGACTGCCTGGATGAGCCCAGCGCTGGGCACCTGATGAAGATGACACACCATCAGTTTACCATCAGTTCCCTGGAGTCCCCAGATTTCCTGAGGCTTGGGTATTTGAACTATCTTTCTGTAAAATGCCCTGAACTACAAGCCCAAAGCACCTTGCCATTGCTTTGACACGGCCTAGAAGGCTGTCAACTCTGAGGACAGAAGCAGACCTGCAGGTGTTCCTGGCCTCCTATGTGATGAGGTCACCGGTACAACAGGCCTGGAGCTGAGTATGGCCAAGTCACATGTCTGGAAGAGAGCCATCCCAAACGGACGCCTAATCTCCAGAAAGAGAATGGAGTTTACCCCAAACACAGCCGGCAAGTACATCCTGATTCTCTGTCACTCATCTGCACAATGTGCCCCTAACACACGATTCGCCTGCCCTCCACATGACATCATTTTGTCTCCCCAAAGAGGCCAGCCAAGTGGGACTGCTTCCACAGCCACTACTTTAAGAAAGTTACCACAGATCTTTTACTATCAATCTTCTATCTTTATCCCCAAACCAAACCATCAATCCTAAGGATCAGAAAACCACCTGAGTTGCCATGCCATTTGCCACCTTGCCCTGGCATGCTCTGGCATGGCCTGTGGCCTGCACTGTGTCCGGCTGCCTCGCAGCCTTCAGTTCTCCTCCCCTTGGTCCTCACCATGAGGTGTGAGTACCTATACCAAGTCACTGCAGGGAGAAGGGTTTCTACTCCTGAGGTTAGTTCTGACAGTTCCCAGCATTTATTCCAGACCCCATGAAGGCACCAGACCCACAGAGGGGAGGAGGCAGGGCTCTGGCTACACTGCTCTTCTCTTTGAGGTATCTGTCTACTAAGTATCCGGGTGTGGGGTCCCAGACGAGGCACCTCACCAATGCCTTGTCATATTTAAATATTTTAGCATGAAGATGGACTTTTAATTTTTCTAGTAGTATTACAGGAGCGATATTTGCGGAACCACCACTCTACCAATTAAGGTACTAGACCTGCTCATATATATGGGTAAAACAAGATGGAATTTCAAGGAACACATTTAATAGGGGTCTTCTAAAGAATAAACTTTTCTTTGCCCAAGAAGCTCACAAGGAAGGAAATGTATCCTAAAGGACCATGTCTATACTTACATAGTTTTAAGAGATTCTGTTTAAGTAACTATATGTAGGAACACATTTCCCCTCAATGAGCGCAAAGCCAGCTACAGAGAGAAATTGTATGTAATGCAAGATGAGGCCTGTGGCTGACAGAAGCATTACTTTTCTTAAAAAAAAAAAAAGCTCAGAAACTCTGCTAAAATGGAACAGGACTTTTTTGTTTTCTTTTCTGTACTGGGATCCAAGTCAGGGGTGCTCTACCACTAAGCTATATCCCCAGATCATACCTGCTCCTTTATATTGAGACAAGGTTTCCCTAAAGTTGTCCAGGCTGTCCTTGAACTTGTGACCCTCCTGCCTCACTTCCCTAAGAATTGGGATTACAGGTATCTGCCCCTGTGCCTGACCGGATGTTTCATGTAACTTAATACAATCCAGGAAGGGAAGCTATAACCAACTATGACCAGGAAGCACCCTACGAGCTGCCCCAGGAGGGCCACGCCAGGCCTGTGCCTACATCTTTGTCCCCAAGTGTCTCCAACAGCAGCAGCAGGATGGTCTTGAAGTGTTCCTCCCAGACACCTAGGCTGTCCTCTCGCGTGATCTTGAGCAGCTCCAGCAGGGCACCCTTCCGCTCCTCCACCCGCTCGTTGTGGTTGGACAGCTCTTTCAGCAGGTCCGCCACCAGGTCAGAATGGTCGATAGGCACTAGTGAGACACAGAAAACAGATGTCAGCTCACAGTGACTCTGGCCACAGCCCCACCCTGCAACCTGCCCCTGCCGCTGGCCCTGCTGTGCAGTTGGCCTCTTTCAGCACAGTCCCTTGGCAGATCTCCTTGCTACATTAAGCATGAGGATGGAGGGCGACGCCAGCTGTCCAGTGCCAGTATTCAGTGCCCACACACTTCCTTCCCATCTCTTCCCTTCTATCCACACACCAGGAAAATGCAGGTGCCCTCCTCATACCCCTTGCTGCCCATCTTGCTAAACCGTGTCCCAGTCGGAGCCCTGAGTCAGGCCTCCATTGGGAAACTCTCATCAGTATCAGACCCACTCCCACTGGCTCAAGGGTCACCTACCATCGCCTCTTTACCCGTTTCCTTCTTGAATGCCCAAAGCTCGGGAATGGGCAGAGGGAACAAACACCAAGCCAGCTGTCTGGATCAGCTGGGTATAGTGGCACAACCCACCCAGCACTCTGGGAGGCTGAGGCAAAAGCATCTCCGGTTCAAGCTCAGCCTGACAACTTAGCAAGACTGCCTCAAAATAAAAAACAGGATGGGGAAAAGAGCTCCGTGCAAAGGCTCCGACTTCAATCCCCAGTACCACGCCTCCCTCCACACAAGAAAAAAGTCTGGACTACTGAGACACTGTCCATTTGAAGATGGTGGCACTGGTCCAAGATAACTGAGCACAGCTACTGGGACATGGGCTACGTCTGTATGGCAGAAGGGCACAGCCTTTCTTCCCACAGAACTTCATACACTGAGTATGAAAACAAAATCAGTAAATCATTAGGACCTATTTCACTGTGTATTTACCTATTTCTTTAGCTTCTGTGATCAGGGAGCAAACCTACAAGGAAGTATGAGCTGTTTTTGTTTTTTAATGAATTTAGTACAGGGCCTCACTATGTAGATCGGACTCATAGTGATTCTCCCGTTTTCACTTCCTGTTTTTGCTGGGATTACAGGCGCATGACAACATGCCCAGTCTCATTCGTCATCTTAGCGTGCCCTGGGGGCGGGGCCGGCATGGCAAGCCAGGGATTGAACCCCGGCTGCTGTGCTCTGCCTAAGTGGCGCTTTAGTCCGCTGAGCTATCTGGCCGGCCCTTGGCAGTATGAACTGTTAAGTAACAACGTGATTCCGTCCCATTACCTTTCTCCTTCAGCCTTTTAGTGCCCACTTGGTGGGTAAATAATAACTGACAAGCGAATCTCCTTCAGACCTTAATTAATCAAGATCAGCAACAGGCAAAAGATGTGCCATTTCTGTAATCAGTAAAAAACCTAGCTCACTTGCCCGGAAAGCAAGTCATAACAAACACTCCTCACCTTTAGCTCCCGCCCAGGGAATACACATGGGTGTACACTGAGAGGCTACACACCAGCTGTGAGGCACTCACAGCTGCGAGACTAAGCTTGCAAGCCCAAGGCCACTTCTGCTGCGCCTAGCAGGACTATCCGCGGGCTCCTTCTCCCCTGTGGCCCTTAATCTGGTGTCTGCCTTTTGCACAACCCTCGCCTTGCACATGGGTGGTCATTATGAGCCTGTTACCCAGCAGGCCTTGAGCAGTCCGTAACCAGGAACTGCATCTCATTTGCCTCTTGGCCTGGCACCTCACACACGACACAGTGACAATGTGGCTATTCACAAAGTCCTAAGTGAGGTTTCTAACTTAGGCTCAAACACAAGCCAGCCTTCAAAACAAGATTTAAAAGGGCACTATGAAGGTAAAATAAGTAAATACAAGTGAGATAGGAAAGAAAAAATTAAGTTCCAGATAAAAATATCATCAAACCCATATATACATAACTCACTAGTTACTTAATAACTGACAGTATGTTTTAGCTCTTTGGTGTGAGGGCTTGAGTCCAGGGCCTGGCGCTTGCTAGATCTGTGCTTTACCAGTGAGCCACAGTCCTGAGTCCTGGACTTGAAGTCTTAACACAGAATCAGAAGAAAACTCACACTAGTTCCATGCTGTACTTCCAATGGTATATCTTGGACAAGTGACTTAACCTTTCTAACCCTTAGTTTCTTAACCTGTAAAACAGAAGCGACCCCTCTCTGTCCACAACAACGTATGCACGGCACTCAGCTCAGCGCCAGGGATGGGTAGGCTCCCAGCTGCAGTCTCGTAGTCAGTGTGGCACAGGCCAAGGGGAGCTGGCCAGAGCGCTGTGCTAGGATGCCCTGGGTCCCTGCCTGCACTGGCAACTCCCACGCACTCAGAACAAAGTCTCTGGGGATCTTCCCTCTTGCCGGCATAACCAGACTGCGGGCTTAGAGAGGACAGCAGCTGCCTGGGCTATCATTTCTGTGGGCCTCCCATTTTTATGCATCCACCAGGGACTCCACAAGGAGCTTCTGAACAGCAGGTCAAAGCCGCTCTGCCTGGAAGGAAGCATGCCAGAGGGCCTGTTGGATAGCTGAACGAACACAAACCGTCCCGAAGCTGCTCCACATCATCATCAAACATGGCCTCTTTCAGGGCTGTCTTGTCGTAGGTGTTGATGGTGTCTGAGTAGGGGTATGGGTTATAGTCGCGTGCTCGTGGCCCTGGGAAGGCACGTGGGGGCTGGGTGTTGAGGAGAGAGGTCTTGTTGTCCAGAGCGGTCCTGCCCCCTTCCACTTCATTGCTGCCCCGGCCCTCAGTGGCTGGGGATGCAGCTCCTCCATCCCGAGAGACCTGGAGCGCAGACAGGGTCAGTTCCCTTCTGAGACTTTCAACACACATTTTCTCCTGTTCTGATGCTTGGAAATACTAAGAGGGCCAGAGACTTTTACGAGATAGGCTCAGGCTGCTGTTCAGAGGGCAGTACCATCTTCACAGCTCACCCTTCCTGAGCATCAGGAGCTGCGCCCACACCCTCCCCACGCCTCCCTGTGTGTAGGTACCCGTCCTTTCCACGAGAGTAGAGCTCTCAGGAATGTGGACTGTGTCTGGTGCAGGCTCACCATTTTTAGCACATCACAGGCACAAAAACATGCCCACGATAAATGAAAACAAGCTAAAGCTTATCCTGAAGTTCTGTACAATGGCCGCTGGCCTCTAACACTAGTGCTGTTCCGATAATATGATCAAAGTAGCAATGAACCTCCACCACTGCCGTGGCCAGTGCTCAGAAGCTGTGGACCTACGGTTTAAGTGACGTCTAGTTTTCTGTGATCCTGAGGATACTTACTATATCGAAATCCTTTTTGCCATCCCGTTTAATTGGCTCATTCAGATCCTCCTGACTTCGGAAACTAAATTTTTCAATGGCTTCAGTAACTCCACGCAGAGAACTATAGATTTCTTCAGAGTTTAGATTCTCTGTATCATAGTCCAGCATGCTAAAGATAAAAAAATATTTATTTCTTGAGTTGAAGCAGATGAATAAAATCAGGACACTGCCATATTGTCACTAATACAGAGTGAGATGTAATTACACTTTTAGTTATTTTTAGGTGATTTGGAATGAAAAGGAGATCTTATTTTAAAAAGGTACCACCAATGAACAATTATACATCTTCCCGGTCAAATGTGGCCCCAAATATTTTATATCAGCACCCAAGAACTAGTGGGAAACAACAATAACCACAAGAACGTAAAAACTCAAAAGTGTGACAATCGGTGACCGAATGCATGAGGTAATGAAAGTGGAAAAATAATTTTCTTATCCAGAGGATGGAAAAAAGTAGTTGGTTGTTACTGGTCTCAAATGTACAAACCTAAATTAGGAGAAACAGGCACTTAAGAAATAAAACTTGCATTAACAACAAATTTCTGAGGAGCAAAGCAAACAACTTCACAAGGCTATGATGTGTGTGCCAGGATCCAATCCAGCAAACTAAGACTGTATTTTAAAATGCAAAACCAAAACAATCCTATGACTCCATGGCAGAGCCACCCCAGCGGACCCTGAGACTCTCACAGTATTCAAACAGGACTTCGTCATGAATACTGAACTCTTCTAGATGCTTTCATTTGGAGTTTTGTAAAAGGCAATCTTATAAAGAGAGATATGTTCCTGGACAGATGTCTAGAAACACCTGTAAGGGCAAGAAATATTTGTCCCTCTTGGAAAAGAGATGTCAGGTGTTGTCCTTTGAGATACTAAGCAAAAATGCAAAAGAAAGCACCGAGGCTTAAAAAGCATTTTTCAACCAGTGCCCTTCTCATGTCTAAAAAGTGTACTGAAACAGAATAATCTTGAGAATAAAAACCATTGTCCGTCACTGAGAATATAAAAAAGCATGAGATGGACACTAGAAAAAAAGGAAGCAAAGCATGATGTGGCAGTCAACTATGAACAAAAAAATATAACTATGTTTAAATATCATTTGTTTCAATATTCAAGAAAAGATCAGCTGAGTTAGCCTAACATACTCTGCAGAAAGTCCTAAACTGTGCGGAGGATTGCCAGGGACACTCAGTCACTGGCTGTGTGTAAGTAAGCAATCAGCAGTATTAAGGACACAAGCAAAGCAAGCTCTGCTCTTCACAGGAGTAGGAGCTGAACGACTAGGCACACACTGGCGCGACTCCTAGCGGCACAGAACAGAGCCTGTGCACTGCAAAAGAGGTAAGTTTCTCAGAGCCTAAAAACAACTAACATTTACTAAACCCACCCCATTACCCTAAAAAAAATACGTTTGAGCACTGATTTGGACAGGTGTTATTTGGAGTGGTCAGACCTCTTACTGGGTATAGCGACAATGACCCCAGTATCTTCTAAGGCTGGCTCATTTCTGCAGGTGCCAAAGACCTGAACTCGCTCTTAGAGATGAAAGCTCTTTGCCTAAGATTGCAAAACTGGCCCAGACAGAATCATTCTTTCCTGATGAATGGAAGAAAGCACACATCCCACTTACATTTGGAGAGTTCACAAAAACATATGCCAACGCAAAGACTGGCTCTGGCACCAAACAAAAAGAAATGTGAACCTGAGTACATGTGCGGCTGAAATTCCACGTACATACTGACGGGAGGTAGAACAAGGAGCTTGAACAGCACTCAGGATTTCAAGCCTCTGTCAGGTCACAAGGCTATCCTGAGGCAACCCCCGTGATGCACAGAAAGCTGGGGAGTAGAGGTGCTCTCTGCCCCCACTCCTAGGAACACAGCAGCAGCAGCCTATGTTGGGACAAAGGCATTTATACATCTGGCCAGTATACTCCTTTTCTATATAAAGACTGAGCAGTATGACTCAAACAAATGAACAAAAAAACATGTTAAAAAAAATGCCCCCAAATACTTTGAATCACAACAACTAAAAACAACAGCATATCCCATGCAAAAGAAAAAACAAAAACAAAAACTGAAAGAATGATGGGGTGGACGAGAGGCGGTCTAGCAGAACGTTCAGTTAAGGGATGTCACAATATTATTTTCCATGTGTCGCTTCAGAAAATATTGACTTTCAGATAGTTCTTCTCATGATTCTCAACCTGAACTTTCTAACAATATTTCATTTCAGTTCAATCAACTTTACCATTGTAGTAGCCTCTTTTAAAAGTAAAATAAGGGATTCTGCCTGCGAGTATTCCTGCTTCTCAGTTTCAATGGACAAAGCAAAAATCCAGCTTCCTGCTCAGGAGCAGCATGTGCACCCAGGAAGACAGGAGGCACTTCCGTGCAGGACTGTGAGTGTGAGCTCTGAAGCATCTCCTTGGTATGAAGTGGAAATACGAACTCAAGGTAAGAGACGCAACTGCATCCTAACAGGAAATGGACAGTTATTATCTTTGCTACTTCTAAATTGTGGCTTGGTCTATCTTTTCTTCAAAGCAATGCCTACAAGTCCTCACTTCATAGGGAAAGGCTAAGAAGGTTCTCACCAGGGAGCAGACCAGATAATCCATCCTGCCTCCTGATGAGCAACACACAGGAACAGCGGGAGGGGCCCACCAGCTGACTGAGAGGAGGCGCCAGTAGGTCACCCTCCACGTATCTCCTACGCCATAGTGTGTCTTGTTTCAGCTTTAGACAATCTCAAAACATAATCCTTTGGGATAAAGGTCAGGTTCTGATCACCTATAAACACTCTGATGAGACCCCAGAGGGCTTCTTCAGATTAGGAAAAGTTAATCAATCAACAGTCACTGACCTAAGGTCAAGGGTCACTTAGCACTGCAGCTGAATTCAACTGTGGGTCTTCCCTATAGAAGACAGGATGGTAGGTGGGCCCAAGAAGAAACTGGAGAGAAGAAAACTGGTTCTGAAGTTCTTTTGTTCATTCTGTAGTGAAAGGACACTGGGTATGGAGCAGGGTAACTTCTGTTATGAAATTAAGTGTTTTAGTAGAAAACAGAAATGTACAGATTCCTCCCTAGTTTCCTCAACACAAATGTCTCTAGTCAACTCCCTCTGAGGCTGAGCAAAGGTCTAAGTATGTATGGAGGTTTATCCACTAATGAGTTAGGTCAACATGTGTCACTACATGTGATGGGTTCTGGAGATGTGCTGTCCTCTGGAGGGGCCACATTATGACCAGGTGGGAAGATTGGAGAGGTGAAGTTCGGTGCATGCCAAGTCGGGTAGGGCAATACATACACTGTGAGGTATGTCGTCAATACACTGATCTGTAATGTGAGGCAAGGTTAACCTTAAGAATTAGTAGTAGTGGGCATGTGTACAGCACCTGTAATGCTAGCACTCCAGATGCTGAGGCAGGAGGATTACAAGTTTGAGCTTGCCAACTTGGTGACTTAGTAAGACCCTGTCTCAAAGTAAAAAACAAAAAAGGGGCGATAGATGCAGCTCAGTGTAAAGGCCTGGGGTTCAATCCTATGTAGGGGGGTACTAAAAAACTCTTGCCATGCTTTGTTAACATCAGAGACAGCAGCATTCTTATCTGCTTGCCCTAACTGTGCATCCAGTAACATTTCCCAGAGTTCTCTGTGTACTCTGGAAGTAACTTTCAGAGCTGTAAGAGCTTCCTCCTAAGAAAGATGTTAAAGTATTCAGCTGATGTGTTTAGTATATTCAGCTTCCCTAGGATACAAAAGTAGGAATGCAAATCCTAAGTGCAAAAGCTATCTACGAAGCATTTTCAAAGTGAAAGACTATTCCCTTTCTGGGTGTTATCCTACCAGAGAAGACAAATCCCCTTATAAGGGATAACTAGACTGTCCTGTGCTCTGCTCATGTAATTACAGGACTGCCCCCACCCCCAAGAGAGCATGCACAGGCACCTGCAAGCCCACGTGGACCTGCAGGATCTAAACCGTGGGAGGCTAACACTGTCACAGTCACCAGTGTCAGTGAGCCTCGCGCAGCACCAGCAGCAGGGGCCTGTGAGGAAACACGGCTTTCCTGCTGGAGGTGGGGCATCCATCTGAAGTGCAACAGTACTCTTAGCTCTCCCACTGCCTGTCTGACCTGTACACTTAGACTACTGCCCTGTGATAGAACATGAGGAAAGAAGTCTTCCAGGTAGCAACAGCATGGCCAATGGCAGAATGTGCATTTTGGAATGACATGGGTGTCGCCTGCCTCTCAGTGGAATGTCTCTGCACCTGAGAAGCATGCTGAGGAGACCGCTCCCACTGCTGCTCCTTCTGGAGGCTCAGCACTGCACCAGGCCAAAGGCCCACAAGAGCTGACAGTGAAGAGTCGGGTCAGGGGATGAGAAGGTCACCGGCCCTGGGACACAGCAGCAGCTGGGCTCATGAGATTCGGCCAAGATTAAGCACCACTCATACTTCTCATCATGGCTCCCCTACTTCAAGGGTAAGCTGAGACAGGGTCACACTAGAGGAGCTGAGAGGCTTTCCCAAAGACCTGAGACGACCTTGGAAATATAATAATATTGTGACACCTCAGACAAGGGGGACAGGTAGTTTACCTGGGAGAGTAAGAGCGCCTGAGAGTCTTGTGGGAGGGAGCGGTGGGAATGGAGTTAGGCTGAGAAAAGGGAGGTGGGTGCTTCGATAACCCATCGGCACTCCAACCCCACAACCGACTGCAGTGATCAGAAGAGGAAAATCAGAGACAGAAACACAGCAGGCAAAGGGGAGGGGAGGAGGACGCGCTGTGAGCTAAGTGTCTTCGAGTCTCCTCTGTTCTTGACAAAGTTCTATCAAAATTAACCGGAGCAAAATTAGCACTTCACCACACAGAGAAAAAGAACACATTTCATTTTATAGTTTGGTCCTCAGTGAGACGACTTCATTCTTTTCTCTCTCAATCATGGGCTGTGTTCACCACTTAACCATGTGGGCCAGCTAGAGGGCCTCGGGTGAGCAGTATGCGCTCAGGAGTGCGAGGGCCTGGGGTTGTACACCTATCTGCCGCCTGCCTGTGTCAGGATGGGCACCCAGCACCTGCACGCCAGAAGCCTGCGTGTTCTGTGTCAGCTAGCTCATCAGTTATTCTAAAAGGAGGCATTGGGGCCTCAACTTAAAGAGAAGAGAGGGACGAGGCAGGGAGGCTCCGAGATCATGTGATGCCAACGGAGGACTCTGGTGGGGGGCGGGTGCTCTCTGAGCTGGGCCTCATGAGGCAGTCTTCAGAAATAAGCAACTTTCTGCAAGAACAGCAGGGCCCCTGCTGGGCTGGGGCAGTGAGTCTCGAGTCTCCACTGGCCTGCCTGGAAGCAGGGCTGAAAGTCTCTTTTACTTACAGCAACTGACAGGAACGCTAACATTCAACCGGCATGCAAGTGTTTGTCTTCTCCTCACAAATGTCACTAGCTGGCACAGGCACATATTGGCCGTGAGAAAAAGCACTCACACTGTCATGTTCAAAACGATAGAAAGAGGGGCCGGGGAGATGGCTCAGTGGAATATGCGCTTCCCTGGCAAGTGCAAGGGCCTGAGTTCAATCCCTGGTTCCACAAAAAAAAA